CTGGCTTTGCAGGGAGGGGCTCGAGCTGGAGACTGTGGGAGGGGGCTGGATGAACCCGCTGCTGGGGGGAATTGGGGGCCTTGCCCCTCCCTGCCCCGTTGGCCTCTGAGTGTCCCTGGGAACCTCTGCCAATGCCGGCTGCCCTAATCGGCTTAGCCCAGCGCCCGGCACCTGCTCCCTTCCTCCTCGTGTTTCAAGGCAGGAGGCCGTGTGTCCTGGTCACATGGCGCCTGGCACATCTGCTCCCACCTGGCCCGGTTCACTGTGGGCACACGGACGCTGCATACCCCTGATGCCCAGGGAAGTGGGTCCTCCAGGATCCCCTCTGGGGTGTGCCTGCCCCCACAACTGCATGGGGGCGAAACCCTTGCACAGCTGCTTCCTGTCAGTTGTGCCCGTTGGCCTCTCCTGAAATGGCTTGTGCCCCAATGCCCAGGGCTCCTGGGCTCTCCTGTCTGCCTCTCTAGGGGCCGCTGGGGAAACTGAGGCACGAGGGGTGGTGAGCGTGGCTGGCCTGAGAGTCAGCAGCGGAGCATGGCTAGACCCCAGGCATCCCGGAGGCAGGTGGCTTCTGTTTGCTTCCTACCCCATCTGCGCTTGGGAGCAGTCTGGATTATTTTAAGGCCCAACCGTTGGGAAACCGAGTCCTCCCCAGGGAGCCCTGGGTCTTGCTCTGTCTGGGGCTGGCAGCTGCAGTGTTCAGGCTGAAATTTGGGGCTGGTCACAGAGGAGTGGGGAGTTGTACATGATGGAGCTGGTTTCTGTCCAGCTGCTGCATGTGCCAGGCTAGGGAGAGGGGGACTTGACTTTCATGGTACCCCTGCTAGGGAGCCTCAAGGCCCATTTTACAGTGCGGGGAAACTGAGGCACTGCACAATCAGACTTGGGGTCCTGCTCTTTTGGAGTTTAAGCAGCTGGAGCTGGCCAGACCAAGGGCGCTGGATGCCTTGGCAGGTTCAACCCGCCTCCTCATCCCCAAACAGGATTAACTGTGATCTGGGATTGGCATGGCCACATGCAGGGGTGCCCAGTGATAGAGTCTGGAGCCCGGTGCCCGAGAGAGCCCCAAATCGCAGCAGGGCCGGAGGGGGGGCTTGGAGATTGCTTCTGGTTTGAGAATTGAATGAATTTGCTTCCCCCAGGGCATTGGCACCTGCTTCTGCAGGTGGCAGAGAGGCGAGATGGGGGCCCTGCTTCTTGGGCACAGGAGCCTTGTTCTCTTTAGCTCTGGGCGAGGATGGGGTTGGGGGCACTTGGCTTTATTCCTGTCTCTGGGGTTGTGTCCCCACAGCATCCTTGTCCCTGAGGGCAGGGGCTGCCTGTGCTGCTCCCTCCCCAGGTAGAGCCCCCGTGCCTGGGCAGATGGGCTACAGGGACCAGGGTAGGGAGGTATTGCCCGGCCCTGCTGCTCAGGTGGACCCTGGCCAGTGAGGGGCGGGGGGTCTTCAGGGTAGAAGTGGATCTGGCACCCAGGCTTTGCCACAAAGGCTTGCCATCCCCTTGCCCACCTGGGGCTGAGCTCTCCCTGGCACAGAGCTGCTGCATGGTCCCTTTGGGGCAGGTGTTGGGTGGCGGGGTGTTTCCTGGGCAGCAAAGCTTTGTGCATCTATCTGGTGTCCCCAGAGCCTGGGACCAAAATTGGTGGGGGGGGACGCAAGGGCCAGCCTGGCTGGATGGAGCCTGAATTTTTCAGTGTCAAGGGCACTCAGGCAGCAGGGTGGGGAGCCACAGAGCTGGAGCTGGGTGGGAGAGACGTTGGTTATCTCTGGGGCCAGGCCCAGAGAGGGTGGAGGCCCCGTAGCACACAATGGCTGTGTGTGTGTACATGGGTGTGCATGTCTGGGCAGGGGGCTGCTGTGGGTGTATGGGAAGCTGGTGCATGGCCCCTGGTGAGATGGCGTGTGTGGTGGAGGGGCAGATGCTGTGTGTGTGTGTGCGTGCGTGCGCGCGCGCACAAGTGTGCATGCCGGCCTCGGCCCAGCCCCTCCAGCTGCCCCCAGTAACACCACACCCAACGCCTCACTAGCTGCCTTATCCCAGGATAAGAGCATCCACACTTGGAGTTACCCTGGGGCAGGGGCTGGTGGGAAGTGGGGGGGCATTTCACTTCCTGCCTCCATTTGCTTGATCCAGTCCCCCCTGCTGCCTCCCCTCCCAGGCTGTGCCTCCCAGCCCCCTCCCCCTCTAACCACTAGCCCCCCTGCCCCTTGCTGCCCCTTGCTCTTGCCCACCTAGGTCGGATTACAATTAACCCTTTCTTTCCCCCTCCCACCTGCCTCCCTTCTGCCGCACACACCAAGGGGATGGGGGGAGGCGCTGCCATGGGGGTGATTAAGGAGGATTTATCCCTTCCCTCTGCCCACCCCCAGCCCCCCTGAGCCTTTGATCTGCGCTGGAGTGGAAAAGCGGCATTGTTCGTTCGTATCGCACCCCCCAGCCCCAGCCCCGGCCCCGGCTGCAGAGCCAGAGAGGAATTTCTCTGTGTCATGGTGTCGTGTTCCCAGCTGCCGGGAAGGGGGAGGGGAGCCTGGGCCTGCCCGCCTGGCCTTGGTGCCATCCTGGGTACCGCCGCCAGGGTCAGGAGACCTCCACCAGTGCATCCTCTGTCCCTGAGGCCTGGGGCAGAGCAGACCCCCCAAAGTTTTCTTAGCATGTAACCCTTGCCCCTGCTGCTGGTTTTGGTCCCTAGTCCCCACCCCCAGGGGGTTTGCTTGCAAACTCTGTGCTTGCAACCCCTGGTCAGAAGCATCCTGCGGGGAGTAAGGGGGATAACCGAGGCCGGGTCCACCCATGCAATCCGATGAGCACCAGAGGTAGGGTCCGGCTGGCAGACCCAGCCTGCGTGTGCTCGGCCGTGGACGTAGGCAGGGCAGTCACCTCTGCCTTGCGCAGCTGGGGTGGGACGGTGGTTGGATGGGGAGGAGGGCAGACTGATTGCAGCACGGATGTGCTGTTGACTGCAAAGGGGGCTTGTGCACGCATATGCACGTGCGTGCATGCACGTGCGCACCTGTGCTGCACATATGTGCATGTGCTGCACGTGTGTGTGTGGCCATGTGTGCACTTGTTCTTATGTCTTCCTCATGCTGAACAAGGCAGGCAGGGAACTGGTCCAGCTCCCGCCTATGGCTCTCTTGCAGGGTTCCCTCTGCGTGGCAGGGGGAGATGGCGGCATTGCAAGGCAGCATGCAGCTGGCCAGCCTTTACTTCCTGCTCCACTCGGTGGCTCCTGCTCCACTCCGTGGCCAGGGAGGGGAAACCTGGCATGGAGCTCGCATCTGAAGCAGCCCCTTCCCCCTCGGTTTGGGGCTAGGTTGCAGCGAGGCTGGTCCCATGGCGTGTCAGGCTCCCTCCGGCCCACGGGTCTTGCAGCTCACGCCCACGTGGGCAATCACAATGCAACCAAAGAAGTGGAAATTGCAGGGGGGGGGATGAGCAGGAGAGCAGGGGTGTGGGGCTCTGCTCCGAGCTTTGCCGTCCCCTCTCCCGGGGTTCACGGTTCTTGCCTGGACGGGGCAACATTCCTGCGAGCGGTGCCTGGGCGAGCTGGGCCGGCGATGCACTGAGCTAAATCTGTCTGAGCTGGTCTAGACAAGAGCTTACGGTTGGCTGGGAACGCGCCAATCCTCGCCGGGCTCTTGCGCTGCAGCGGGGCGGGGGGGAAAACACGGTCGTCCCTTTGGAGAAGGGTCTGGGGGGGCAGAGCGAGGCCCCGGTGCTGTGTCTTTAGCTGGCATCATGGAGAGCCAGGGAGCTCACTGGTGATGGGGGAGGGATGGTGACCAGCAGGAGGTGGAGGAAGATGGCCACAGGCCCTGGGAGCTCTTTTGTGCTGTGTGCGCGTGCGTACATGCATGTGTGTGTGTGCATGCCAGTGTATACATGTGTATGGGTACATCCGGGTGTGTGCATGTACATGTGCATGTATGCATCCTAGCGTGTGTGTGAATGCAATCTGGTGCATGTGCACACTGATGCATGTGTGTGTATATATGCATGTGTGTGTGTGCCTACATGCGTATATGTGTGCACATTTGTGTGTGTACATGCATTAGTCCTACTTTGAGCAGGGAGTTGGACTAGATGTGACCTCCTGAGGTCCCTTCCAGCACTAACTTTCTCTGTGTGTGTGTACCTGTATATATTTGCAGTGGTGTGCATTGTGTGTGTACATGTGTGCATGTGAATGTATCGGTGCATATGTGCACACATGTGCGTGTCTGCATGGGTATATGTGTGCATGTGACACACATGTAAAGGGCCCCAGAGCAACAAGTATGCATACTTGTGTGTGGGCCTGTGTGCATGTGTCCATGCATGTGTGCACACGTGCATGACTCTGCATAGTTATGTGTATATGCGAGTGCATGCTTGTGTGTGGGCTTGCATGTGTGTGGAGAGGATTTCAACTATTCAACCCCTCCAGCTTTTTTTCCTTCTCAGTACTGCCGGCTGGAGGTGTTTGGCACTAGCGAAATACCAATGCTCTTGCTTCGGCACTCCTTTCTTCACACCCCCTTTGCATGGGTGCAGACAGCCATGCAAATGGGGGGTGCAGCGCCCAGCTCTGCACACCCATCAGGAGTGGGGGATCCTGTATTGGGCAGTAGCTGCTAGAAGGTTTCCAGCACAGCTTCCCTTCTCCCCTCATCCCAGACCCGGTGGGGAAGGGACTGTCCTTCAGGCACTGCGTTTGTACAGTGCCTGGTACCTTGCTGCTATCCTTCATGTGCAGTTATCCCATCATGCCTCAGTGGGGACATGCAGCCTGGCAGGACATGCAAGCTGGGACCCCCTGGCAGCGATCAAGACAGTACATTCTGGGTTGGCAGGGTCCGTAGCCTGGTCCTCCAAAGCAGGTTTGCCTGGCATGTCACCCCATGCCCATGGTTAGGTCTGGGACTGTGCTCTGGGGGAAGACGGAGGGTTGTTGGGGGCAATAAGGCTTTCTCCTTTTTGACCCTCCCTGCACCCAACACTTTCTATCCCTCCCCCAACAGATCGATGAGATGCCGGAAGCTGCCGTGAAATCCTCCTCCAATAAATACCAAGTCTTTTTCTTCGGGACCCATGAAACGTGAGTAGGGGCCACACATGGGAGGGTGTGTGCGTGTGTGTGTGTGTATTTATATGTGTGTGGGGGGGGGGGTGAAGCTGTGTGCACCAGTAACATGCGTGTGCCCATGTAACACATGTACGCCTATGTGTGTCAGGGTGGGAACATGCCTTTGTGCACAGGAAGTGGGAAGGGAACACTTGTGTGCACATGTCTGGAAGGGAAAGGGAGTGTACCCGCATGCCCATGTAACACACGTGGCTGTGCATAGGGGAGGGAGCCTATGACCGCGGTGCCCGTTGACTTTGGGGTGGGGTCAACACTGGTCCCAGGGTTGGGGTTCAGATCCCATGCGGGCTGTAACAAGGAGTGAGGCCTCTTCCATGGGAGCCCCCTTGTCTCTGCTCCTGAGGTCCTTATGGGGGCGTAGGGGCCCCTGAGATGCCCCTTGCTTCTACCCGTCCTGCCTCAGTTTCCCCCTCTGCGCCCTGCTCTGGCTGTGGGCCTCACCTCCTGTTCCCTCTTGCAGAGCATTCCTGGGCCCCAAGGACCTGTTCCCCTATGAGGAGTGCAAGGAGAAGTTTGGGAAGCCCAACAAGCGGAAAGGGTTCAGCGAAGGCCTCTGGGAGATCGAGAACAACCCCACCGTCAAAGCCTCGGGCTACCAGGTGTGCACATGGTCCCCCCCACCCCGGAGCAGCCTTAGCCCTTCTCCAAGAAATCCCCCCTGCAGCTACCCCACTCCTAGCTACCCTAACTCTAACTCCCCAATGCATCCCATGAGCTACGTGGGCATTTAGATCTGTCGAGAGCCTGCTGAGGAGCTTCCAGCTGCTTTGCAAGCAAAGGCCAAGCATCAGAGGAAGCAGCCACCCCTAACCCCCAGATACTGACAGGGTCCGGGGCCGAGGTAAAGGGCCCCAGAGCAACATCTCGACCTCCCAGCCCCTGCAAATAACCCCCCTTTCTCTTTGCTTCCTTCCTTCCACCCCTGCTGACCTTCCTGTTCCTTGTCTCCACTCCTCTGCAGCCAACCCAGAAGAAGAGCTGCTCCGGGGATGCTGAGCCGGAGCGAGAGCCGGAGGGCGATGGTGAGAAGAAGGGCAATGCAGAGGGCAGCAGCGATGAGGAGGGCAAGCTGGTGATCGACGAGCAGTCCAAGGAGAAGAACGAGAAGGCTGGGATCAAGCGGAAAGCAGAGGATGCCCTGGAGGTGAGGGGAGAGGAGGGGAGGTGGGGGGTGGGTTATGGGTCAGGGGAGTGCTAGCAGCTGGCTGCCCCGCTGCAGGACTCCCCCAAACGCTCCAAGGAGGTGGAGGGCCCCGAGGGAGAGAAGAAGGTGGAGAACGAGGAAGCCCCCAAGGATGAGCAGAAGCCCAGTGCCCCTGAGGGTGAGAAGGGAAAGAACAGCGACGCCGCCGACGGCCCCGACGCCCGGGAGGCCAAGCCTGAGGGGAAGGAGAAAGCCCCCACTGCTGAGGAGATCAGAGATCACAAGGAGAGGTGAGTCCAGCGGGGCAGGGCAGGCACAGCCCCCTGATGGGATTGGGGGCATGGGCATCAGCAAGAGCCAGGAGCTCCCATAGCCCTTTGGCTGCAAGCCTGCCCGCTCCTGTAGCTCAACAGGCTCAGGCTAGACTGCATTTTGGATGGGAGACCTCCTAGGTGCATGGCCAGGAGCCAGGACTGTACACATTGAAGGGATGTTCACTGCCATTAACCTTCTTCCTTGTATCCTCTCTGCTCCCGCAGCCCGTAGCTGGCCGGCCTCCCCCAGCCAAGCTGCTGTCCTGGCCTGCCCCTTTACTGCTGGGCTCCCCGGGGGCTAAAGAGTCTCGTCCTCCTCAGCTCGTCTCATCTTGCAACTCTGGAAAAAAAAGAAGAAGAAAAGAAGAAGAAAGAAAGAAAGAAAGAAGAACCCCCCATCCCCCTGCCCGCCGCACCCCACCCGCGCCACAGGGCGCCTGCTTGTACTAGTGATCCCTCAGGGGGGCTCCTCCATTGATTTGAAATAAATGCGATTCATGCCTTTTTAACACGCTGCCTATCACTTCCCTCTGAGGTGCTTTCTCTGGGGCTCTTCCCCGCAGCTCGGCACTGCCCTGGCAAGCCACGGTGGGTGGCAGGAGGCGGATGTCACCCTCTCTGCCGTCCTTCCCTGTCTCGGTTGCGACTGGCTGAGTGGTTGGACAGGGGTTTCTGCGACGTCCAGGATGAGTTGCATCTATATGGAGGGGCCTGGATGTGCTGCTGGCATGGGCAAGGGGTGGTACCCACTGCAAGGCCCCATAGGGCAGTGCCCAGCAGCCTCGAGGTTGCTATGCCCCAGCTCCCAATTTGTTGCTGGCTCTTCTTTTAAACAGAGCCTGCATCTGGCTTTGTCCCCTGAGCTGCCCCTTTGGCCAGTCTTGTTCCCTCCCTATCACAAACAAAGCCAGCACCCAAAACAGTTGTTTAGATTGCCTGCTCCTGGCGGATCAGAGCCACCCCCGCCTTGGGACAGCTTGCTATCCCCTTTCTTCCAACATCCCTTCCAGTCACGGGGCCAAGCAGAGGCAGAGCTGGAAAGTGCAGCACTGGGGCTGTCCATTTGGCTGCAAAATAGTTGGCTTTTCCACCTGCAGTTCAATTTGGGGAAAATTTTGGAAACTTGCAAGAAAAAAACCCCCATTCAATTTGGAAATGCTGTAGGGAGGTCCCCAGGGAGTTTTAATTAGTGACCCCCACCCCCCATCTCCACACCAGACTTGCAATCTAGCACTGGGTCCAGTCTGGCGATGCTCTCCCTGGGATCCTGGCAGGCAGGTTCTCTCCCTGGGTGGTGAAATCACAGCTGAATTCTTGGTGCCCTGGTGAGTCGCTGCCTTTCTGGCTGCAGTGCTGCAATTCCAGCTGGATGCGAAGGAGCGAAGCTCCCGACGCAGGTTTCTCACTGGAATTCCAGCCCAGAGTGCTCGTGATGGCGCTTTCTGGAAGGAGCTGGCGGGAAATATCTCTGGCTGATCCAAAAAAATGAAAAGGCTTGTGTTTTTCTTAATTTTTTTTTAAAGGGAAGGGGGAAGCCCTGGCCTGCCTCCCATGTCCTTCACTAACAAAGTCTTAGAGCTCAGTCCAGGTCCAGCCAGACATCAGGGTCCAAAGGCAAAGCAAGGGTCTGAGGCTTGCAACCCCTGCCAGCCCCCGGAGTCGTTTGCAAGCCCATCTTAGCACCTAATGGGGATTCCCCCCTGCCCCTCTGAGACTCGAAGGTATCCCTGGGTTCTCTGCCCGTCACATCTGTCCAGCTCTCTGTCACCCTGCACCCAGGTAAAACCCCTCATCAGAGCCCTCCCTGCCCTGCTCTGAGGCAGAGACCTGGGGTGTTCAGAGCACGGTTGTGCTCCTCAGGCCCTGAACCTCGCGTGTGCACTAATGAAACACGACAGCGCAGGACGCTCCAACAGGCATCATTTTAAAGCAGCCTTTGGGTTGCTCTAAGTCATGCGTTGCTCCCCGCGTCCCTCAATGGGCCCCGGGGAGCAGAGAACGGCCACAGCTCAGTTTACCCTGACTGGGCTCCGAGACCCACATCCACCCATTTTAAGGCCCATGTGTGACCAAGAATCCAGCCCACAGGGGTCATAAGCCTGACCCCAGGGGACAAGTCTATTTGGGGACCCCAAATGGGTCCCCAAATGGCAGCCATGGTACTCTCAGTTGCAGGGGATGGAGCCAGAGCTCGTTCAGCATCTGTTGCAAATGTCTCTGGGGAAGGTTTCTGCCTCCCCTATCCAGCCACAAACCGAAGGGAAATTATCTAGAGGCAGCAGCATCCATGTTAGTCCCTTTGCCCTTCACTTCTGGGGAATATTTACCAAAACATTACAATAAAAGTGTGGGGGAGAAGTTTTTAGGGTAATGTTTTTAATAAAAAAAATTTAAAAGTTAAAAAAAAAAAAAACCACCCACAGGATGATGGTGACTAGCTGGAAAAGTAATTGTTTTAGCTAACGATTTTTTTGTAGTCTGGCTTATTTTTAAACTTGTGTTTCTTGCTGTCCTCTCGGGCCAGGTATGTCGCCTTGGTTTCTCCATCTCTCTCTCTCTCTCTCCCTCTCTCTCTTTCCAAGTCTTTCTCGCTCTGTGATGTAATCGTATTACAATTTGTAACATATGGAGGAAAAAAGAAAAATAAACTCCCAGACACGCCTGCCTTGGCTCTTTTTGGAGGCGGTGATGCAGACTATGGCTGGATTTAGCTTTGGAATAGTTCAGGAAACAAAACAAAAAACAAAAAAAGGAAAAAGAAAAGTATAAAAAAATCTAGCTGATTTCAGTTCTCTCTAGGACAATAAAAGGTTGATTATTATGATGGTGTCCAAAGTGTCTCTTCCTGGGGGTTTCAGTTTCCTGGGACAGGATCTGATGAAGTGAGCCTCCCTACACAAAACCTTGGGGGGGGGGGGTGTACACTTTGTGTATACATGTATGGATGTGTGTGTGTGTATACACTAACCAAAGTGTGTGTGCGTATACTAACTAAAGTATATATGAGCATGTACATTTGTATATATATATGTATGTACATGTGTGTGTACACTGACCAAAGTAGGTATGTGTGTATATATGTATTGTATGTGTATATACACTAACCAAAGTATGTGTATGTATCTATATACACTAGCCAAAGTAGATATACACACACGCGTATCTATTTACTGTATACCTATTTATATATATGATAGACGGATATAGATGTATAAATATATATAGACTAAGCAAAGTAGATGTGTGTCTATATCTGCTTTGGTTAGTCTATCAGGCGCAACCCTACCCTGCCTTCTCCTGGGCTTCAGACTAATGCTCCAACTCCGTCTCTTTTCCCGTGCCTGTCAGTGGATCTGGGGTAACACAAGGGCTCTCCCCTTCAGGACTCCCCATCTGCCGGGGTCCTCTGGGCCCCTCCTACGCTCAGCGTGTCCCCTCCTGTACCGTGAGCAGCGGGACTTGGGGTAGGAGTGGGAATCCCACTGCTCCCACCATGCTGTTCTCAGCGGGGCCGGCCTTGCTCGTCTCTCCTCCGCCCTGGGCACGGCCATAGAGAAGCTACATCGTGCTTTGCAAAGAGGATGGAGCTGCTAATCTCGATGGGGGCGGGGGGGGGGAGAAGGAGGGCTCAGGCTGCAGTCCGGGATTCCGGGATCAAGGAGGGCAGCGAAGACCTGGACCAGGGAGGGGGAGCTGCAGCTGGGGCTGGCCCTGCTTGGAGCAGGGGGACGAGCTGGCCCCCGGGGGCCCTGCCAGGCCTGCCCCACGTCCCCCGGCCGGAGGCGGCGGCGGCGGAGCCGGGGCTGCAGGAGCGAGAAAATGGAGCGGGGCTGGAAGCGCGCCCGGGGCCGGCCGGGGACTACGAGTCCCAGCACGCCCCGCAGCCGGGGGAGGGGACGGGAGGCGGCGGCTCTGCAGTGCTGCCCCGGGACGCTGCAGCCGGGCCTGGGGGGGGGCGCTCTACGATGCTCCTCTGCTGCTCGGTGCTGCATGGGCCCCCATCCCTGCAGCCCGGGGGGGGTCCTGCCCCCCCTGCTCTAGTCAGTGCACACGGTGCAACCTCTGCCCGAGCCCTGGTGTTGGGAAGCCCCCGGGGAAGAGGGGGTTGCAATGCGAGCCCCGCCCCATGCACACGTGCGGCACATGCTTGGAACATGCCTCCCCTGCAGAGCCAGCTTGCTTTCCCCAGCATGCACCAGGGGAGAGCGGGAGGACTGCGCTTCCCAGCATGCCTTGAGACAGCGGCCTCTATTCCCCCCCCAGGGAAAAGACTGCGAGTCCCAGCATGCCGCACGGCGGGACCCGCTGGAGGTGAGGAATGAGGCTCCCAGGGTGCATCGCGGTGGTGGAAGGGGGGAAGGACTACAAGTCCCAGAACGCAGTGCGGCAGTATCTCCATGCTGTTGGGTTCTGAGGACAGCAAGGTGAGAAGGGGGCCTCCAGCTGGGGGGCGGGGGCCGTGGCTGCACGCACCTGGGGCTGGGGAGGGGGCCGTGGCTGCACGCACCTGGGGCTGGGGAGGGGGCCTTGGCTGCACGCACCTGGGGCTGGGGAGGGGGCCGTGGCTGCACGTACCTGGGGCTGGGGGGCCCTGGCAGGGAGTCAGTGCAGCTCTGGGAATCTGCTTGCTAGACCGCCTGGGCTCTCTTTCCAGGTCCCTGGGAGGAGCAGGGTGCAGTGGAGGGGCGAGGGCAGGACTCCTGGGTTCTCGTTCACCATCTAACACCCAGACTGCATCCTCACAGTTGGCACAGAGGTGGTGAGAGCCTGGATGCCTGGGTTCCCTGCTCTGGCAGAGGAGCAGCTGCCTGGGGGGTTGGATCCTGGAGAGGGGGGTTCCTCCTTGCAGTTGGAGACAGAGCCAGGATACCTAGGTCCTATTTCTCAGCTGTGTCCACTGACTTGCCTAGTGCCCTTCGTTCCCATCCGTGCCAGGCCCTGGTGCACTCTGACTGTTCACCATGCGTCTGACCGCACTGCTCGCCATGACCGCGGGGGCCACAGCGAAGCTGCCACCTGGCTACCGCCACGGCACCCACCGGCCCGGGTCCTATGCTGATAAGACCAGGAACCCACCCTGGCTGCGGCGCAGGAGGCTGATCTTGGAGCCGCTGAGCGAGGAGGACTGGAAGGTGTTCAAGGGTGACACGGTGAGTCGTGGCATGTGGGCTGCCCACATCCCTCTCTGCTTCCAGAGGAGCCTTCCTCTGGCCCCTCACCCCCTGCCAGGTGGCTCTGAGCTCTTGGTCTCGCTGCTCTAGCTGCCAACAGCTGGTTTAGTGCTTCATCCAGGTCTGACAGCTTCACTAGCAACTGCTGGTGGGTTTGGCTTTTTCCCTAGATCGTAGGGTCAAAGTGGGGCCGGAAGAGGCCTCGTGAGGTCACATCCAGTCCAGCCACCTCTTCAAGGCAGGATCATCCCTAACTAAAACATCCCAGCCCAGCATACCTCCAACCTTCCTGGGATGGAGACCCTACCACCTCTTCAGGGGTCTCTTCCAGTGCTTGACTACCCTCTGGGTCAGGGAGCTCCTCATCTCCAACCTGATGCTGCCCTGCTGCAACTTGAGTCCTGTCCCCTGCAGCCACAGACAAAAGCCTATCTTCGTGCTCTCCCGAGCATTTGCAGCCAGCAGGCCCTGCTGGACCTATTCCCCTCCAGCCCTGAGAGAGACCCTGGCTGGCACAGTTGACAGCTCCCCATGCCCGTGCCATAGCTACGTAGTCTTCAGAGCCTAGAGAAATGGGTCTCAGTATATTCAGCACATTGACCACTTTTCTCTGTTGGCTTTGACTCATAGATTCATAGAAAATGAAGGTTAGAAGGGATCTCAGGAGGTCACATCTAGTCTAAACCCCTGCTCAAAGCCCATCTCCAACCTCTTTTGGAATCTCCCTTCAGGTATTTGAAGACTGTTATCAAATCCCCCCTTAGTCTTCTCTTCTCTGTACTGACAAACCCGTGCTTTTCCAGCTTTTCCTCGGACCTCTAACCATCCACCAGCTGCTCACGATTCCCCACTGCCCTGGCCCGGGCACTCGTTTGTGGCACCAAATGCATTTTAATGCCACTGCCTGGACTTTGCACCAGTGGAAAAATGTATCTCCCATCTCCAGGGAACAGGAGAGCAGGAAAGTGGGTGTTCTCAGTGGTGGCAGATGACAGAAGGAGCAATGGGCTCAAGTTGCGGCAAGGGAAGTTTAGGTTGGATATTAGGGAAAACTTTCTTACTAGGAGCGTAGTAAAGCATTGGAACAGGTTACTCAGGGAAGTGGTGGAGTCTCCATCCTTTGAGGTTTTTAAGACCTGACTAGACAAAGCCCTGGCTGGGATGATGTAGTTGGGGCTGGTCCTGTTTTGAGCAGGGGGTTGGACTAGATGTGACCTCCTGAGGTCCCTTCCCACCCTCATTGTCTGTGATTCTATGAAATCGGCAACACAAAATTACAGTCGTGCTGATTTCATGCCGTTATACAAAATGGCCTAAGGCAGACCTGTCCTCCAAATGTGGTAACATGAGGGTTGGTGATATAATCCCCCCCCCATGCTGATTTCTGGGTTGTGGTCTCATCTGGGTGACTTACGGGGCTGCTTGGCTCCAGGTGGAGATCCTAAAGGGGAAGGATGCCGGGAAGCAAGGACTGGTGAGCCAGGTCATCCGAGCCCGCCACTGGATCTTTGTGAAAGGCATGAACGTGGTAAGGGGGTGGGGGCTCTTCTTCCTGCAGCTGGGCTTGCCCTGCTGTGTGTCAGAGCCCCCACCCTGCTGGTGGGGATTCTCGTTTGGCTGGGCTTCAGGGGTTTGGCAGCACTATTCTGTATGGAGGGTGGCTGGTGAAAAGCACTCCACTCGGTTCTCCAGGGGCTTTTCTGTGCCCTCAGCAGGGCAGGGTGGGCAGGATTGTTTGCCCCTCAAGATGGGATGGGAGAACCCTGGGGGCCTTATTAATACATGGCAGGGGAGAGGGGGGCAGGTCTAAGCTGACCTAGGTGCAGAACAGGCTAAAGGTGCAGGTGACCCCAGCTGTGATGCTTCTGAATCTGCCTCTGCTGTTCCCCCCAGGCACAAAACAAACTGCCCAAGGGCCCTGGTAGTGCCCCACCCCAGAACAGGCTGTACCAGGGCTGTCATGCAGGGTCCTATGCAACCAAAACCCCCTCATACATCCCCTCCCTGTGATGACTTGTCCCCGTGCCAGGGCTTGGAGGCTTTGGCTTGTCCCCCTTGGGGCAGGTAAAGCCTAGACTTGTCCTGCCACATTTGCTTGAACCCTGGTTCTCCATCCGCAGCACTATCGCTTCTTAGGGAAATATGGCGACTACCCAGGCATGTGTATTCCCAGTGAGGCACCCTTGATGCTCCAACAGGTCACCCTCATCGACCCTGCAGACAGGTAACCTCTGTCTCACCCCATGCCAGCTCTGCCTGGGTCCCCTGCCCCCTGTGTGTGCTGCAGGGGATCTCGCTAGCTAAGCAGGGCTTGGAGGGGAGCCTGATGAGCCCCGTCCTGGTCTGTGTTTGTGCAGTGCTGAGTGCAGCAGGGTGCTGGATGACCACTGGGGGTGGTGGATGATGCCTGAGGCTTTGGCAGCCAGGGGTGGGAGACCAGGAGTCAAATGGAAGAGATCTCTGCTGCAGCAGTGGGCAGCTGTGTGGGGTCAAGGGGGCTGGGGTGGGAAGGAGGCTGTGGTTGCAGGGAAGTGGGGTCTCCTGGAATTGCTCCCCCGGAGCTCCGGTCCAGCCCTGAACCATCCTTGCCATGGAATGGCTCATCCCACCCCCAGGAAGCCGACAGAGGTGGAGTGGCGCTACACAGAGGAGGGCGAGCGCGTGCGGGTGTCCATGCGAACGGGTAGAATCATCCCTTTGCCTGAGGTCGAGCACCCGGATGGTATTGTGCCAGAGGTGTGGGTTGGTAAGTCTTCCCCCCTGTGGCCCCGGTGCTGGGGCCTACTCTGCCCACAGCAGGACAGTCATCTGCCACTGGGCTGCTCCTGCCTGAGTCGGCAGGGCTCTGCCTACATCTTGGGGGGGCTGCTCTTACCAGCAACCTGCTTCCCCCTGATGCCAAAGGGCTGGAGGATGCAATGGGGCACTGATAGCATCCAGGCTCACACCCTGCAGCCCAGGGTGTAACACGCTCCTTACTCTTCCCCGGGCAGATGGGCCCAAGGACACCTCAGTGGACGATGCTCTGGCCAAGACCTACAAGGCGTCCCTGAAGACCTTTGAGGAGGAGATCATGGAGCGCATGGGCATTGTGGAGACACGCAGGGCCCGCAAGTCCTTCTGGTACTGAGCCGAGGCTTGTAATAAAGACGTTCTCTTCTAAACACCCACCCGCAAGACCTGTTTTTTAAGCCACAGGAACACGGATGAGCATGTATTTGCTGAACCCTTTCAAGGTAGTGAATACTGCCCTGACCTGGAGCAGGGTGGGGGGCTGGACAATGGAGCTCTGGGTGGGAGGGACCTGGTCCAAGCCTCTGGGGCAAGGGGGAGGTGGGGGCAATGGTCCTTGGGCACTTCGCTGCCCTCTGCTAGCACCAGTGGAGGGGACAGGCATCCCACTGCCCAGTGTTGCAGTAACAGCCCGGAAGGCTTCCAGAGAGGGGTTGTGAGTCCTTTATTGTGGGGACCAGATGCAGCTCTGAGCACAGGCATCACAAATCAGCTGCCTGACCCAAAGCAGAGGAGGATGGGCACAGAGCTCGGGCCATGCCCATGGTGTCAAGCATGAGCTCAGCCATCTCCTTCCAGACACAGCACTGGAAAATAATAGGTTACCGGCTGCGAATGCAGCTGCCAGCTCAGCCCAGCAGGCCCTGGAGCTAAGGCCACGCAGGCCCTCCAGGGGTGGCAAGGCCATGTTAAGAGCCCAAGTGCCCATGGCTGCAGGGCCTGGAGCTCCTGGCAGTGAATGCCTGGGTCCCATCCTGCTCCTGTGCAGGTTTTCACTGGGACCACGAGGTCTTACCCTGCTGCTTACCCAGCCCCCTTTTCTTCTGGCAGAGGCTCTGTGTGGTGCTGTACGGCTCCTGTGCTCCTCCCCAGAGCCAGTCGCATGTGTTTCCCTAGTCCAGCCATGAAGCCTAGCCCTCACTATCGTCCTCCACCAGAGTGGACAGGGCTGAGGCTGACTGGGCCTTGGCAGCCACCAGCACTAGGTTCCGGGGGGAGAACTGGGGGTCGAAGAGGGGGATGAGCCTGCACTGAAATCCTGCCAGAGACAGCAAGCTGGGGGTCACACCACCAGCCTGGAGAGGCAGATGCCCGCTGTGCCAGGAGGGAGGGGCCCCACTTCCCCCCACACTTGCCTTGCTCCTGCAGGTAGATGGCGCGGTCCAGCAGGATGAGACTCTCCACCACTGGGGCCAGCAATAGTGCCAGGGTGAAGTAGGCAATCACCTGCTGCTCTCGCCGCAGCAGGGCATCCACATGGGCCACATCCAGGGGGGTGCTAGGGTCCAGTCCCACGCGGGCCAGGCCCAGCCGTGCATACCTGCCAGGGAGCAGTGCCACTACATCAGCTCAGCTCTCTGCTCCCCCTCCTGAGTGGGCATCCCTCCCAGACAGCACTGTTGTGCCCAATTGGCTGCAGGGCAAGCCTTGGTGGCAGGGTGAGGGATAGAACCCAGGGGTCTTGGCTCCAGCCCCTGGGTCTGGTAGGCTCCCAAATGCATCACTGGGCATGACTGGTGGAGGAAGCCATTGTGTTACTATGAAACAGCACAGGGTGGAGGTGTCTTCCCTCCCCTGCCTTGGTTTTCCCATCTGTTAAAGGGGGAGAATGTGCCCTTGACATAACCCATCGCAAGCCTGAATGAGGCCCCTTTCATCAGCTCCCCCCTGGGATGCAGGATGAGGCCCTGGTGACTGGCTAGGCTGCTAGCAGAGGTGCTGCCATGGAAATTCCCAACTCCCTAGGGTCACTCACTCGTGGAAGGAGAGGCAGTGGGCCCCAGGGATGGTCTGCACGCCCAGGCGCTGCTTGCTGGGGTCGGCTGCACGGATGAGGGTCTCCAGCACGGCCCGGTAGCAGTGTGCCCGCAGCCCGGGGCTCTGGCTCCGCAGGCGCTGCCCATAGTCCTCAGCTGCATGGCAGGCCCCCTCCCGGGCCTTGTAGGACAGTGTGTGGCCTGGCAGCCCGGCCACCCAGGCACTCAGTGGGTAACCATACGTGGCTGGGGGCACAGTGGGTGGCAGGACAAGGCCCGGTGGGACGGGGGTCTCACGGGTGCTAAGCTTCATGTAGCAGCAGGCTACGGAGGTGATGGCAGCCACGTGGGGACAGTGGACAAAGTGGCGGAGCAGGGTCACGCTGAGGTCGCCACAGGCATGTAGACCCGTCAGCAGCACCCTGCCTGGGGCTGGAGGATGCTCTGCTGGCTGGCTCGGCTCCTGGAGGTGCCCAATGGGGACACCAGTGCCTATGTGGCTCCTGGCACCCATGGGATCCGCTGTGGCCCTACCTGGCTGAGCCACATCTCTGCTGAGCACCATGGGCAGGGTCCTCATCCCTGGCTCCAGGGATGGGGGGCCGGCGCAGGCGGCTGCTGTAGGAGGGTGGCTCATGTCCACTCCAGGCTGCAGCAGGAGGAGGAATTCTGGCCACGGTGCCTGGGGGTCGACCCAGCCTGCCACGTGGCTCGGGCCACGGAGAGACAGCTCCCGCACAGCCTACAGGGCAGGAGAGGGAGAATCATCAATGTGACCCTTTAGCCTGCTCGTTTGCCATTACCATGGGGTCCTGCAGGACTAGGGTGTTACTGGAAGCACTGGCAGGCCCAGAACACCTGCTGATCCCATCCAGAACCCCCAGTGCACGCTCAGAGACACCCCTTGCCCCTCAACCTCATCAGGCAGCAGGAGGGGAAACTGAGGCACTGGGTGGTAAGGCAACTTGCTCGAGGTGTGCACAGCCAGGCAGGGAACCTGGGATGCCCAACACATCCTAGGGTGGCCGCCCATGACTCCTGCCTCCCTCTCCACTCTGTACCTTGCCCCCCCGCGCTTGCTCCTTCTTCAGCGCCTGCACCAGCTCCCGGTCGAACCTCTTCGCTGTGTCCACCAGGTGCTTGTTGCCCTCGACAGCAGTGACGGGTAGGCCAAGGCCAAAGGATAGGAAGCGGGACAGGTGGCCCTGATCCAGAAGCAGACAGAGCCTCAGCCCTGTGCCGCTCTTGGCCCCTGGCGATTGGGATGCCCCAAACTCTTCCAGTCTGCTCTTGGCACCCATGGGATCAGGCTTCCCCCTCCAGCCTGGGGCTGGCCGTACAGCAGTGCTGGGGCCCTGGGCATGGGAACCATGGGGAAGAAATGCCTAGGGAGAGGCTGTTCCCAGGCAGGGATATGCCATGGCCAGGTCTCTGCTGAGCCAGCAGCCAGCGGACCAGGTGGGGGTAACTGCTGCTCCCCACCGGCATCTCAGATCTCCATCACATGGAGATCCCAGCAGCAGCCACAGTCTGGGGACATCAAGCCCCAGAAGGAGAGGAACCCATGCTGGCTGCAGCAAGGGGCCTGCGGTTGCCCCTACCTAAAACATGGGGCAGCAGCAGGGTCCCGGGGACTCACCTGGCCAGAGCCAACATCTACGATGTGGTCGCACTGGGCAAGCTCACTCAGCCGCTTCACCAGCTGGAGGGAGAACGGGGCCAGGGGTCAGCTGGGATCCAGGAATGCCTCGCCTGACCCTTGGGGCCAAGCAGAGGCCCAGCAGGGGAGTGGCTGCCCTCGGGCACGCACCTTGCCCAGCTGCCAGATCTCGTGCTGCTTCTTGGGCTTGACGTGCTTGCGGAAGACAGGGTGGAGCCGGGCGCTCTGGCACAGGTTCTCCTGGAACTCCTCAGGCCTGCCATTGGCCCCACTGCAATGTGCCCGGGGCAGCGCTAGGGCGTGTGCTGTGGCTTTGAAGGCCAGCAAAGACAGCGGCCACACCATGCTGTAACTGTCCAGACAAGATGGGAGGAATCGGCTTTCCTGTTTCCTCCGAGGGACTGAACAGACTAGGAAATGCAGCCCCCTCTGGGGTGGAACAGCAGGTACCAGTGCAGAAGGGGCAGCTCAGATCCTATTGAAACTACCGGGGAATTCAGACATGGCGACTGGTGGATTCAAGCCTGGGCCTAACCTGTGCTGAGGAGCCCAGGAAAGCCCTGCTTCCTGGGGGGGTGGTGCGTTTCTCACCTTGCTTCCTCCAAGTTTGCCTTCTCCAGCAGCAGAGCAGCCAGTTGCGGGGAGGGCAGATCAGCCAGGACGTCCTGCCAGGAAGGAGGCAATGTTGCCCACTGGTCATTCGTGAAAAACTCCTGCAGGGAGGCAGAAACAAAAGGGGATGGGGAGGGACAGTGCTTGGCTCAGGGCACCTGCGAGCTGAATGGGCAGCCTTGGAAACTGAGGCATGACTGGCCCAAGGGCCTGTGCTTCAAGCTGAGCAGCCTCCCCCAAGCGTGCGCCCGACCATACTCACGATGACGAAGGAGTCCAGGAGGAAGTGATAGCGGGAGAGGACGCGGGCGATGCTCGCTGCCAGCTGCTGCTCCAAGGACAGGGGCCGGTCGGGAGCTGCCATGGGGCTGTGGGAGAGCGGAGGGGTCCTGGGCAGGGAGACAGAGCAGACGTGGGCTGGCAGGGGCACGGGCCCTACGCGAGTGAGGCACTGCGGGCACCTGTCTGTTGGTGGTGATGTCACGCCTCCCGCGGTGACACCGTAACAGCCCGTGGTACCATGATGGCACCAGGGGCTCAGTGCCGTGACAAGGCTCAGGCTTCTTCCCCTGGAGGCAGAGCAGCCATGTGGTAGTGTGACATCACCCCACCACGCACTGAAATGATGCCAGGTTGTGACATCACAGTAGTATGACATAGCAAGCCTCCTCGCCAGGGTGCCCTGGAGCAATGTGATACTATGACATCACCTCCACGGTGTACTGCAACAATGCAATGCTGTGACATCGCAGTGATATGACATCACAAGCCTCCTTGCCAGGGTGCGCTGCAGCAATGTCTTAGTATGACATCACCCCACAGTCTACCGCAACGATGCCATGCCTTGACATCACAGCCATATGGCATCTCAAGCCTACTCGAAAGGGTGCCCCTGCAGCTATGTCATACTATGCCATCACCCCACTGGAAACTGCAATGAAGTCAGGCTGCGACACCATGTTGACGTGACATCACCGGCCTGCTTCCCAGCATGCACTGCCAGTGATGCGATGCTATGACATCACCCCCAGTGCACTGTGAGGACATCACACTGTGACACCACACGGAGATGACATCATCAGCCCCCACCCCGCCAGACACTACTGAGACATCATGGCCACAGGGTGGCGCGCCGCCGGAATGACGTCATCCCGTTGCCATGATAGCACCCGCGCTGTTCTGCACCCAGCCCCCGTGTGCCCATAGAGCTCGCCCGCCGGAGGCCTAGAGCGGCCGCAGCACCGGGCACTCACTCACCACCGCCGGCCTCTATGATCTCCCCGCGGCGCCGCGCGTGCGCAGACGCCCTCCCCGCCTCTCCCTCTAACCACGTGCGCTCCCCCACCAGCGGCCCCCTACACAGGCGCAGACTTGTCCCTTCTGTGGCGTCACAGCCTACAACGCATGCGCAGCTGCTCCCCACCCCGCCCGGCGCTTGCGCACTCTGCCCTTCTCAGACCATGCGCCCGTCCTCGCAAGGCCGCCACTTCCGCTTCCGGTGTGCGGGGCCCGG